CCCCCCAATTTCTCTACGGATTTAGCCTTTTTCAGAGAATTTTTTTTTCGATTGGGGGGCGGTCGCCCCCCCTTGGCTACGCCACTGATCAAATGTACAGTACATGTACTTGTTTTAAATGAAATAAAATAAATAAACACGTCAATCAACTTATATAAAAGTTTAAAACCTTCTGGTAAACTTCGTTGGTCAAAAATAGGGTAAGAAACGTTCATTGTTCGGAAACTGCGCAACAAAATTATATATAAAATTGTGCAGTGCATAGCAGCATACTGCATAGGGCGATTAATATTAATAAAGCTGATATATACGCACAAATTACATAACACAACATATTTCAATGCAACACAACTTACATATAATATTTCTATGCGTTACTTTTTGTGTTCGTAGCGTGGTTTTTTCCGCCAGCATCTGTTCTAAAGATAAAAGAGGATTTCTTCTTTCACTCCAATACGACGCCATCTTGGAAACTCTGTTGTCATGGTAATATCAGTGCCACTGAGCTATAATATATCTGGAGGAGGTGCTCCTATCCAGTGAACTCTCTTTGCTTCCCAAGAGCAAAGAGCCTGGGAACGAGGTTGGTGAACTCTCTCTTCAACCTCGTCCCCAGGGTATTCTTCGTGCATGGCGCGTGAAAAATGGGAACACCCCACTGAGCTGTATAATAACTGGAGGACCTGCTCCTATACTTCGTTCAGTCAACCAAGTCACAGAGTAGATAAGACATACAGAGACGTAACTGACCGTTGTAAACACTGCGGAAGATTACGTTATCATGTACCCACTTTTTTTCAGGCGACCGGGCGAAAAATGATCAACTGCGCGTGCTCAGCAAGTTTAAAGTGAGTCGTCATCAGGTCGTCATCCAATCAGATGCATGCATCTAGTAACTTGCCGAGCATGCGCACAAAAAAAGTGGGTACACTAGTTACGTCTCTGTATGTCTCTACTCTGTGACCAAGTGAAGCCAAAAACATGGCGGATTTTGAGCTCAGTGATTTTGAGTGAAAATGACGCCATTTCCATGACTACTGGTCCCTAAATTCATGGTAATTGCCACTGAACAAGGCTCAATTGTGAGCCCGCCACAGTTTTCACACCCCCCTGGTTTCTGAAAAAAATATTTCGGATTTTTGCAGTGAATTCTTGTTGTTTTGTTATTTTCGACATATTTTTTCGACGTTTGACCATTTGTTCAAGGATGTGAAAGTCGTACACGTTATTCTCGTCCGTGACAGACAACAAACAACTATTAAAACCTCCCAAAATGTGGACAAAAACGATATTTCAAGCCGGGCTATAAACAGCAGTCTATAAACATGCAGTCAACTCAATAAACAGGTAAACATTTTAAAATTCACATTTTTATTTTAGTATTTCATGAAAAAATGTTAGGAATAAATGGTAAAATGTACTCTATTTTTTAGAAAATAAGCCACAAGTGTTTATAATGTGGTTGTAGATAAACCTTTTTGTATTTACTGTATTAACTTTATGCAATAATTTCATCCCTCGCAATATCGAGTTGCACAACAGTACATGTATGATGAAACTATGATGTTCTGGTGTATTAAAGAGGAAATTAAGGTTTTATATATTTAGGCTATTTAGCCAAGGGTTTTGTTATGCATGAGCTTGTGGTGAACTGGTGCAGGAAAAAGCTCAGCTGCCTAGTAGGGCCAGCTGAAGTGAGAAGGCATGTTTTATATCCAGAATTGTACATTGTAGTTTTAATATGTGCTCTCTGATTGTATTGTATTGTATCATTTGTATGATAGTTTGTTGTATGTGTCTTTAAAAGGCCATTACCTTGTTTGCCCCATCCCTCAAATATTAAGTTAATTGTGAGTCTCTAGTTTTGCCATATTGCAGTAAGCGAGACTTCACTGTGTGGTTATTTTAATATTTTTATAGTGGAAATTCCTTTCAATTTGCATGGATAACCTGGCTCAGTTTGAGATCTCACTTGAACAAGACAAGATCTCTAAATGTTAGACAAGATAGTTACTAACCTGACTGACTAATGGTCAAAATGAAGTCAAAACAACAAAATTGGTCATGAAAATATAGTGTCAAAACAATAGAGATGCAGAATTTTCCAACAATGCATGAGTCCATGCCACTGTTGTTTAACTGTTAATGAAACTCAGTACCAATTAAGCTGCAACATGTTTGTAAATTAAAGATTCAAAATCATGATTAATTTTGTATTATTTCAAAGAATAATTATCAAATTAATAATTATAACTGTACAATCAAGTTACAATATGTGATCAATAGAGTATTATTATAACTGTAGCTCCATGGGTGATTCTTTGGCTGTTCCCTGTTTTGATGCCTTGGGCCATTTCTTGTAGTACATATAACAGGGTTTTTTTCAGGATTTTCTCTTGGGTCCGTTTTTGCAGAGAAGATTGAGTTTAGCTGAACAGCTGTGGTGGTTGCACCCCCCCCCCCCTACCGGGGGGCTGACACTTGTACTCAACAAATGTAGTTGAGACGGAATGTGTTAAAGCAGGGGCATTGAGGGACACTATAAACTGGTTAAAGATGGCGAATGCATAGTTTTTCTTGTGTTGTGAGATGAATTCCAGCCATTTTTTCTTAATTGTCGGGTTTCCAACTGAAAACTAATTTCCACACGTCACGAATTTAACTCAAACAACTTCATTTTTACTGCACTGAAACTTTGGCGAGAAGATTGAGTTTCAAAACTCAAATATTCAAGATTGAGTTTTTGGGGCCGTTTAACGGCCCTAAAAAATCCCTGAAAAAAAGCCTGATATAAGACTTTGGAGAAAAGTCATTGTTAGTTTTTCCAGTTACGGTAGGTCTGGCAAGTGCCACCACTACTATAACACCACTATTCTTGTTATTTGAACATTCCAAAGAACTTGTCCACATGACTTACATCCCAGATCACCCTAAATGAGAAATGTCAATTATATTTATAAAATAGTGACAGCTAGTATCATTAGAACACACTTTGAAGAAATAGTGAGTCACATACCAGGCTCCAAAGTCCAATTACAGGGAAATTTACTGTAGAGTAGACATTATTTATATGTTAACCCATTCAGCACGTACCACTGTGCTCTCTTGTTGACAAGTAAAATTGTTGGCGTTAGACAAAGTAACACAAACATATACAGTAGGGTGCAATGCAACTGAACACATTGAGGGGCAGCACTCTCAACTTGACGAGTAAAATCGTCTGGCATTGGACGGAGTAAAATATTGTAGTAGGGCGCATTGCCACTTAAAGGATTCAAAATGGGTTCATTACGGATGAAATAAATTGATCCAAGCATTTTTCACATATGAGTTCTGGCATTTATAAGCCCAGCTAGCTTGCAACCAACTTTAAAGCATGCAACCAACTTTAAAGCATACAGCAGTTAATTGCACCCAAGCTTATTATTTTACTCAGGCAGTCTAATGCCTGACAATTTTACTTGTCAAGGGGACAGTCTTGTCAATTAATTGTATTTCTTAACTCCCCAAAGTTTCATTTTACATTTAATTACAATATATCACAAATGATCTAAGTGAGGTTCACAACAATCACAAATAATATATCTATTAAATTAACTGAAATTTGAGCTCTACTCCAATACTGGGGACACCACCACTGAAACCTGAAACTGCTCTGAAACATATCATCAATCAATTTAGGTTAATTGTCAGAGCATAAGGTTGGTCAATGCCAAGGTGACTGGCACACATAGTGTGCACCTGTCATTCCTATATTACCTCTAATGACTGTGGGATTTATAGAACTCTGACAAACTATGTTGGGCGAGATATTGTAAACCGGCCTCTGAATATAAGCCAGCTAGCCCTGGGCTTGTATTCTAATACGTATGGCTAAGCTGCATTAATAAATATACCTGGAGCCAATTGTATCAAGCCTGTTTAGCTTAAATGTTGGTTAAGCTCAAAATAGAAAGCAAGTCTATAGATTCATTCAACAACCAAACTAGAAGTTTTGAACCTTAATAGAATGATGTTTACAACTACATATTCAGTGCAGAATATTTAAGTTGACTGATTCATGAGAAATTAAGCTAAACAGGCTTGATACAACCGGCCCCTGTCAAATAATATAAGCCCATGGGCTTGTACACACCGGCCTGGCATACATTAGAGGGGGCAGGGGCTTATGTTCGGAATAGCCTGAGCGTTAGTAAATATGATGGGATTATACACAGGGGGGCTTATATTGGGGGGGGGGGGCTTATATGTTTATGGTAATTGCTTGATTGCAATGGGTATTGAATGGTTTGAACCTGATGTCTTTGGCCTAGCCTAGCTAGCAAAGTATTTGTTCACTTGTCTACATGTCATGTAAGTGAGATTTCATATAACTACACAGTAATTATAAACAACTGCTGGCAAGAACCTGGCAAGGATATCACTCAAAGTTTGTCAAGGAAAATTTAATATACTAAAATACTAAATAAATACAAGTGTGCAGACACTACAGCAAGGACTTTGAAATCATATTAACCAGCCATGAAACCCTACGCAAATACAGAGGGCCGAGGCTATAGCAGTAGTAGTACCAAATCAAAAGAACAATAAAATGTACAGAATTGCCAACCATTTACAGGTTGTTATGTCTGCTAATAATTTGCTGTTCATATACTTTTATGTTCGTAGTATTATAAACTTTGTAGTTTGTACTTCTGCTTCAAATTTTCTACAATATATAAAAATCTTACCGGTGAATAAAAAGATTCTTCTTGTACATCTCATACATCTACGAGCGGCGCAAAAAGGCAGGATCCTCGACATTGTATTAAATCAACCAAGTTATAGGAGAAAAATATCAAGATTTTCAGTGCGATTTTTACCTCAAAAACAAGCGAAATCATAAAATATCTGTGCTGAAACCAGGGGGGTGAAGTACATCGTCGAAAGCTTAGGATCGCGGTTGGGACAGTGGTAGTTGCCATGAATTTAGGGACCAGTAGTCATGGCAATGGCGTCAGATCCGCCATGTTTTTGGCTTCACTTTTTTTTCCCGAGCAGGTCCTCCAGTAATATAGTATAGCTCAGTGGAACACCCTGGTAAAGGCAGTGAACTGTCGCTGTTATCATTCCAGATATATATATATAGAGTTCACTGGGTAAAGGCTGCGAAAATCTCCACGATTCATGGACATTTTAGTGCATGCGCAAAAGCGAATTTGCCTTGGCGCTGACCAATTCATTGCTGGCGTACAAATTTTTCATGGCCTTCTTGAGATGAAATATTTCAGTTTGGAAATGTATTTTTTTGCTAAAATATACCTCTAGATAAGTAATTTCTCTTCAAAAATTAAGATGCTTAGAGAGAGAAAATAACAAGAAGCTAGCAAGTCTAATTTTTATCTTCCTGGCCGAAGAATCCGCGTTGTTAATGTCATGTCTCACGGCTGCTTGTACTGGCAGTCTGACAGCACTGTCACTGTGAGTCTGTGAAGGTAAATGAAAAACTACAATATATTATTGTTATTTATATTATAATTCAACATATAATAGCCCTATGACTGGTGCTAATATGCCTACAAAGTATTTTTTTAAGCGCTTAGTTTTGAGAAATTATAATTTGATAATGAAAATTTACTAGTGCATAGACTCATCACTAATCCATTTTACACTGTGAACGTTGGCACTTGTTTAAGTTATTTTGGCTAAAAATTATCGCATGTTAATAAATACTCTAGTATATAATAATACTGTAATTTATAGTTTATTCCCTTGGAGCATGCAAAGTGCCTACATGTGGAATAATTTGCCTTAATAGATCCACAGCTCTCATATAGATTAGAACTCCCATAAATTCTTTTACACATCCTAGTACATTTTACCATTCTAAAAGTGCATTTCCCCATCCCCTTTCAGACAGCAGAAATTTCATTTGTATTGCAAGTTTATATTGTGCACTGAATGGTGAATCAGTAAAACTAAAAGATTGCCAACCAGTTTAGACCAGTTCAAATGTAACTTATGTAAGTTGTTTCTCTCTCAATTAGAAATAAATCTACTGTTAATAAATTAATTGGATAGATTTAGTGTAACATATAGATTTAGGTTTCCAGTTTGTGAAATGAAATGCAAATCAATTGTATATTGTTTTAGATATTCATGCTTCTCAAACTTCAATATGGATAAAACAAGGACTGTCAAGAAGACTGCAACTGTATATGTACAACCTAATGGGGATGGGAATGCTGTTAGTCTTCACATCTAGGAATGTTGCTAATATGAGATTATTAAGAAAACCGCAAAGTCAACAACTATCCTAGATTCCATAATATTAGGAAGCTGGCTCAACTACACTTAATATTCTGGTAATACTCAAGAAAGTGACATGGCAATTCAACAATGCATGTACAACAGAACGAGATATTTCCATACCAAGACAATTCTTACTGAATTAGTATTTAGCTGATATTTCATTTTTTACAGTATTTAAAGTTATATACAGTGCTGTTTTAAGTTAAATAACAAAGTTACTTGGTTCAAAATCTGGTCTTTGTTTTTCCTTCTCTACTGTGCAAGGGTAGCGAAAAGAGGTGGTAATATGCATCCTCACATGCGGCTGATAGGAATTCTCACTCATATGGAAAATGAATTGGGTCGTTCCAGCTAGAAAAGATCCATACTCCCCCCATGGAGGAAATTTCTGCCGTCCGGAGGGGGAGGGGAGAAAAAATTGTTTCTGATAATAGTAAATTTTATGTATTAGGACATCCGAAGGGGGTTAACTTCCGATTTCTTCTGTGGGGGTGGTATGGATGTTTTCTGGAATGACCCATTCTCAGTCATTTCAAAAAGTAAGCCTTGGGGCTTTTTTGAAATCGATTTCATTCATGCTTCAACAACCGATCTCCTGCATGTACATCATTGCAAAATGTGCAGCCAGCCTGCAATGTCCAAACCACAGTTGTCCACAACATTTGTTCTCATTGAGCTGTCCATTGATGAGGAAGTGTAGTGTGGAGACAAACAATTTTGATTTGGCTGCATTTATTTGAACACTTGCTTTATTATCCCTCCCTCACTGATTCAATAGTTGCTAATGTAAATTTGTACTAGCTCTGCAGGACAGATGTGTTCAATTTTTCCTATATGGTATGGAATAAAGATCATGCTGTTAGTGTTACATGCATGCAAATGGTAATTCACAATGATGTAAAGGCTAATGAAATTCAATTATGGGTTGCCCATAACTACCAACATTTCCTGAAGTGTACAAACTATATGCTTCAGGTAGGTGGGTTCATAACCAATATTCATCGGTTAAGTCGCTGTGGGAGGGGGTTGGAAAGTGTACTCTCTGTACACCTGTGATAATTATGGATGATTTACAGTGTAACACTAATGCTAGATTTAACTGAAAATAATTTTATAGTTATGTTGAATATATTTTAAATGTTCCATTTGTGTAGGTCAGTGGCATCCATTCTTGTGGAAAATTCAAGTAGCTGTGCTCCAGCAGTTGGCTGCAGTGGCACAAATTATTGACATAACCAAAATTTTAATATTACATAGGATCTTAGATTCGTTTTTATTATTTCCTGGTGTCCTATGAGCCCAGCAAGAACTGCTTATTTTATTATTATAATTTTTAAACATGTAACAATTAAGCTATACAAACAGCAATCGTTCTGTGCGTCTATTTCTGCTATAAAAATGCATATTCATCTGAGACTGATATTAAACTGTCACATGAAGCAGACAAGAGGTTTTCGTACTAGTTAAACAAGTGGTAGTATTTGAGAGGAACTAAACGTCGTCACAAACGCAAATGTTCTGTGGTTTGTTTGATCATACAGTGTGTGTGTATATATTCATACCTTCCATAACGATGTGAACATAAGCTGTCTCAACTTTGAAGTACCAAAATGACGTCTATATTCGCACTACGATTTCCATTATATATTGTGCCTGACATTTGGTCAGCCTAATTTAGGCTGAAAGTTGGAAAATATTTGCCAGAAACGAGCTTCGCGCCTTGGCGAAGCATGCATTTTACTACAAACAAATTATTGTTGTGAAAATCCTTGTAAATCATGCAACCAATCGTAGGGCTCATTACAAAAAGTATTTAGCGGTAAACCAATCATATTCATTATAACAACATCCTCAAAGCACATGTCAAGGTCAAATGTATAAACCAATCACAACGCAGTTTAGAAGAGCCTTTACCAGGGTCTTCTCATTTTTCACGCGCCATGCACGAAGAAGACCCTGGGGACGAGGTTGCTCTCTCTTCAGTCAAACAACTGTCGCCAAAAACATGGCGGATTTTCAAGTATTTTCACCACTGGGTTAGCACTTTTTTCCATCCAGCAAACCGCCCTATCGATTTTGTAAAGTCGTTTCTTTTTGGATTTTTTTATTAATTCGGTTTGGATTTGGGTTAGAGTTAGGGTTGAGGTTAAGGTTAGAGTAGGCCACAGTAGGGGTAGGGTTTGGGTTAGTTACATAGCCATTTATAAACACCTCTTCTTCTATCTTGCGAAAATGACGTCAGGTCAGTTTGCTGGATGGAAAATAGTGCTAACCTCACCACTGAGCTATAATATATCTGGAGGAAGTGCTCGGCATGAAAGAGTGTCGCCAAAAACATGGCGGATTTTCAGGTAATGATGAGGGCCCCCTATACCTCTTCACAATATGCTTTCACGTAAAAATATTTTGCCTTTTCACGAGTCACGGATTAAGAAAATCATCGATCACGTTTCACGGCTAAGTAAAATAAGCCCTTCACGCTTCACGCAAAAAGTATAGGGGGCCCGATCACGTTTCACGGCTAAGTAAAATAAGCGCTTCACGCAAAAAGTATAGGGGGCCCTCAATGATTGTTCCATGTTTCGCGCACCAATATAGTAAACGTTATGTAATGGATATTATAGTGTACTGAAAAGTTAACTGGATATCTCCATACACGTATATACACACCCCAACCCTATCCCTAACCTTAAACCTAACCCTAATACCTAACCCCTAACCCTAACTTATATTGGTGCGCGAAACATGGAACGATAACCGATTTTCACGTCTGCTGACGCCATCCTCGTCCCCAGGGCCTCTCGGCCGCGTGCGTCCTCCCTAGGCCCTGGGACACACGGAACCGAAAGTGCAAGAAAACTTGCAGTAGTTTCTAAAGCGCATGCTCTTGAATTGGGACACTTTAGCACCCGTAAGAATTTTCACAGTGAAGTATTTCACTAGGACCATGGCGTCAGCATTTTGATGATGAATCATGGCGTGGCAGCGGTTGCTCGAGTCGCCCTTCTGTCTCCTTCTGTGTGCCTTATTCTGTGTCCTCGTGGTAATTACCACTGACCAACCGCGATCCTCGGCTTCAGAATGGGCTTCAGACGACGATTTCACCCCCCTGATTTTTAGTGTACCCGTAACTAGTGTACCCACTTTTTTTGTGCGCATGCTCGGCAAGTTACTAGATGCATGCATCTGATTGGATGACGACCTGATGACGACTCACTTTAAACTTGCTGAGCACGCGCAGTTGATCATTTTTTGCCCGGTCGTCTGAAAAAAAGTGGGTACATGATAACGTCACAGAATAGGAAGTCCACGAAAATTTTAACTCGCTCACGTCAGGCCACGCCATCCTGGCTAGTACAGCCGGAAGTTTCCTATTCTGTGATAACGTAATCTTCCGCAGTGTTTACAACGGTCAGTTACGTCAAAGATTAGATACTATAAAGATGTGTCACTCTGCGAAAATTATGTCCGAGATTTTTTTATAGCCGCCATTTTGCCAGTAAGTGTCAAATTCGTCAAAATTCGTCATATAGCGCGAGCATCGCGATGGCAACCTATTGTATTCAGTCTCGCCGCCATTTTGGCAGTAAGTGTTATGCACTCGTCATCTCGCGTGATCACTCGTGATCAGCACGGAAAATTACGGACACGCAAACATTAGGGAAATACGTCGTGTTCAGACTGATTTGAATATTCATATTTCATTTATTATGCGAAATACGAACGCGTACGGGGTCCCGGGATCCCGGGGAAAAGCCCCGAAGATTCCCGGATGAAAGTGTGCTCGAGAGACAAAAATATAGTTTTAGTGTGTTTTGGTTTGGAATATATTCATGTTTCTTTATAAAGTTTTGGTACTTTTCTTGGTTTAATGTTAATTATTGTTGCCCCAGTCGTTAGTTGGGATGGCCCTAAGCTGGTGGTAACATTAAATGGTCCTTCGAGCCGGATTGAATTGGTATAGTGGAATTATTTGTATGATATAAATATGTCTGTTCATGGTTCTGAAGCAAATCGTGTGGTTGAAAGTGAATTTGGTAGCGTTTCGTTGGAAGAAACACGTATTCGAAGTAAAAGATCGGTAGTTAAGAGGAGAATAACTACAACTTTACGTAAATTGGAGGGATTTGTGGCGAAATTTGGTAGCAAAACAATAATAAAAGGGGTATGCCGGTCTTACTCCAGGTTATACCTGTCACTGTACATGGTCCAAATGGATATTTGAACACCCATGCAATGCTGGACAGTGGTAGTACATGCAGTTTGGTCTTATCTAGTGTTGCTGAAAAGCTTGGTTTGGAAGGTTCAGAGGAACGAATTATATTGAATGGAATTCAGGGAACTTCTGAACTGAATTCGAGACGAGTTAATACTCAAGTAAGTGCAGTCAATATGGTGACACCACGTTTTGATGTGAACGGAGCATTGGTTGTTGAGCACTTGAATATTGCCCAGCAGAAGGTGAACTTGGTGGATGTAAAGTCTAAATGGCCGCATCTAAAGGAAATAGACATACCGTAAGCGAGTAGTTGTGATGTTTCGTTACTTATTGGTAGTGACTGTCTAGACATTATCTTACCCATTGAGACACGATGTGGTCCTAGAGGAACTCCAGTTGGAATTCGTACAAAGCT